GGGGGGAGGCAGGAGCTTCCTGTCAAGCAGAGGAAAGAAAGACTTGTGTGTAGAGCTTCCTGACAAACAGCGCAAAAGCTATAGGGGCCAAGCAAGCAAGAAGGATAGGATTCAGTACGTAGTCAATCCTAGGCGGGGGGCATAGATGTGTAGAAATCATGACCACCCAGGCTACTGTGAGGCTTTTTGTGTTTAGATTCCTGTGTCTTTTTGTGTCAAACCCTTGTGCGCCATTTTTCTCACCTCTGAGAAGTTGCCACTTCTTTCAAACGTTGAGTTTTCATCTGTCTGCATCTCTCATAGACAACGTCTGTTTCAACAACCATGAACATGTCTCCGATAAAAAATAATCTAGGTACAAGGTCCACGGGGACCGCGGCATACCCCAGGCAATATTTAATCCAAGAAAAATTAATCCAAAAAAAAAACCGTGAACTCACGGGTATCCCTGGATTAATTTCCCAAGGTACCCCCCATGAGTGAGTGAGTGAGTGAGTGAGTGTGAACGTGAATGTGAACACGAGCGAGAGCGACTGTGAGTGAGAATGAGCGCGTGTGAGTGTGAGTGAGAGTGAGAGAGTGAAAGAGTGAGCGCCTGAGAGCACAACGCGCTGCGCCTGCCACAAAATCTGCACTTGGAGGTTCGCAAAGCGCTGCCCCTGCCACGAGATCTGCGCTTGGAGGCTCACAAAGCGCTGCGCCTGCCACGAAATCACTTGGTGGTTCACAAAGCGCTGCGCCTACCATGAAATCTGCGCTTCGAAGTTCGCAAAGCGCTGTGCCTGCCACGAAATCTGCCCTTCGAGGTTCGCAAAGTACTGTGCTTTGCACGAAATCTGCACATCCAGGGTCACAAAGCGCTGCGCCTGCCGCGAAATCTGCACCTCGAGGTTCACAAAGTGCTGCGCCCGCCACGAAATCGACCACTTCAAGGTCCACAAAGTACTGCGCCCCACATGTCCAAAAGTCACGATTCACTGCATCTGTCACGAAATCAGAGCGCCTCGAAGATCACCGCCGTGTCCAAAGTGCTGTGCCTGCCACGAAATCTGCATTTCGACGTGAAACCGCTCCGATCCCTTGCGCTTGTCACGAAAAGCCGACTTTGGAACACCAAAGCACGAGGTTTCCCTTGCGCCTGCGTGAAAAGTGACCACCGTGTCCGAAAATGCGCGCGGCGCCACAACGAGAGCGCAGTCGCGACAAGCGCCCGCCGGGGACACCCAGATTTTGCCAGCCTGCGCAGCGTCGACGGTTTGGTGCGCTGTAAATAGCAACGAAATAGCTGGACCTGACCGCGCAACACCTCGATCTAACACCGGCGCTTAACCGCTATACCGTAAGAACCCCTAGTGTAGGAGCAACTGCAGGAGCAGGAGGAGCAAGAGGAGCAAGAGCAGTAGCAGCAAAAACATGATGCCTGTAGTTACGGAGGTCGTTCCAATGTCGTTTTGGATGTCGTCCGGAGGGTCGCTCCCCAGCTAAATGACACATTCCACAAAGACAGACAACATTAGAAATAGCGGCAGCGGTGCGTGGAATTCTGAACGAAGGATCCCACAATACTACTTTACATCAACCTCCTTTTTTCTGGCTCAAGTGACGCTTCTCACAAAATCATCTTTCTGCGCCAAAATTGGACACCCGCGCCGAGCCGGACGCACCGTGTCCGGCGTATCGGCGTATCGCGACAAGTCCTGGTCGTAAACATTCGTCACCGGGGATTCTGTTGGCGTGTCCCTGCCTGATTGCGACAGTTTGTGGTGGACGCGCGCGCGACCCAGCGAAATAGGAGCGCTTCTGACCAAATAGAACTCAGCGTCTGGCAAACGATGGGGGTCGTGGCCTGCTCATGCAGGGAGTCCTTACCTCGCAATATCGACAGGCAACGTTGCCAACCCTCAAGAAATGAATCGGTTACGGGAGTCGGTTGCGTCCATTCTGGCCGCTTCTAGCATACTTTCACGTTACTCCCCGTGGCTCTAAGCGAGCTTTTGCTCAAGGTGAAGAAAAACGCAGGCCTGTCATTTTGCATGTTCTCACTATTTAATCCCTGCGCGCCATATCGTCACTCCCACTTTCCTACAGAACCTACTGATCTTCCTTGGCTTTTGGGTTGCTATTCTGACTGTTCTTTTTTGGTTGCGCTGAGAATGGCACTCACCCCTGGCGGACCCTCGTCGAAGGAATGAAAGCCGTAGGAGGACATGAGCCTAAGCGCAGCGTCAAACCCTACCTCGACCAACGACACCAACGAAGGCACAAATTTGGCACACCTGCTTCTTGCAATCGTTTCAATTTCAATTTGCGAAGAAACCGTATTGGAGGAAGACTGTTTGGAACATTTTGGAACCAATGCTTAACTTTTGGAGTGGCCTGGTATTCTGACTGGGCTTGCCGGTTTCCTAGGGCTTCTGCAGCCTTTTCCACTCAGGACCCACTTGGCTGACGGCGTGCGCCGTGCCGGTTCTCACCCTTTTGCGTTTCCTGTCGCCTGCAACAGAAGAAGTCTGCAATGCGCGTTGGAAGACTTACAGCGCTTTCTGTCCAATTAAGTCCATATGTACAGACCTACCTCTCTTAACTGCTGAAAACTCAATGTTTCTCTTGCAATGCGAGCAAGTTGTTTGCGCTTGAAGTAACTAGCCTTCGACGCGCCCTTTGTGGACAACGCAGCTAGAGGCAACGCGCAGCATCGTCACTCTTCATCCTAAGCTTGCGACCTACACACCAAGTTTCGAACCAGCTATAGCAAACTCATAGCCTTCCAAGCGGTGCCAGCTCAGGCCAGCAGACCCGGCTCACAGCTCACTGCGCGCGACCAGCGCCAGTTCAAGGCAACTTCGCACTTCGCGTGGCAGTGTAGCTTAAGCCACGGAGGCCAAGCCTATTTTGTCCGCCTACACGTGTTGTTGGAAGCGCGCGCTGCGCTTTCCCCCCCAAGCCATCCCAAGCCATGAAAACTCACAGCGGCGCGCAGTTTTCCGCTCATGGAAATTGAGGCTAGTGTAGGCGGTGTGTGAGATGACATCTAATGCTCCAAACTACTGCCTCCAATGCTTTTGTGCCAAGGGCAAGTGCGATGTGATGCAACTGATTCTAAGCAGCCCCCACCGCACTGACGCTCGTGGCTCCCCATAGGGCCAAGCTAGCATGTACAGTTGTGCCTCATTCAGCTGATTGTCAACTGAGTTGTATGTCCAAGCTGCATTCAACAAAAAGAATTCAAACGCGAACACTCCTTGTTTTCTTGCCAGGGAAAGGACAAGTGCATAAATTTGCCCATGTTTGTAAACTGGCCGGCAACTTCCAATGTCCCGACCTTTCACGGCACAGCAAAACAATGGACGAACATATAGAAGTCGTCTTGCTTCGCTCGTAGAAGAGTTCATCGGTTGGAACAGGCGCCCTTGCACACTGTCATACAGGATTGATGAGTTCCCAACCGTCCCAGAAACAAACAGGCGTTTCTGGTGGTTGCCCAGGAACCTGAAATTTGTGCGGTCTCCAGGGCATTTCATCTTGAACGCGGTCATTGTGCAGATAATTCTGAATATTGAAATAAGTGTCCTAGCCGGTGCCTCAGGCTTCCAACGTTCACGCTGTTGATCGTGATTATCCAAGAAAATCAATGCCCTTTCAGTCGGGTAAGGCCTAGAACAAACTCAAAAGGAGCCCCTTCTGCAACCTTCACAAGTCCAAGAAACTTCTTGCTCCTAGTAGCGATGCCCTTTGTTACTAGTACCTTCTTGTTACTGGTAGTAATGCCAGGAGCTACTAGTAGCTTCTTGCTCCTAGTCCAAGGCAAGTTGAATGGAGTTCAAACACATATTCCTTGATCTGAGAATCTGAGGGATAAACGAATCGCAAATGCGATAGGAACATCCGCTGAAACCTGAAAGCTGAGGCCCAAGCATTCATATTGGAAAGGGAGGTTGTTCGCAACTTTCTATCTATTGGAACTGACGGAAGGACAAATCAACCAAGATGCTGTCCGATTGAAGCTGCAAAAGTTCGCCAAAGTGCTCAGACCTGCCCCATGAGGTTGGCCCTTTAATGCCTTTGAAAGTTCAACATCCCCGCCTGTTTGACCACCTTCCTGTGAACTTGTCAAACAGGGTCTCTGCCACACGTTCCCCAAATGTGAAGTCAGTGGCTGAACCAATGGATACAGCCTGCCGTGTACCCGCTTGCTAAATTGGAATCTATCATTTCTTCGCACGCGCAAGGATTCCGACTGCTGCCCGATGTACAGGTCAACAAAAAGTTACACATGATTTGCTAATTTCTTGTCTTCAAGCAAGTGGCGACCGCTTCTTACTCTAAGCCAGTCCTGTCATCTTGTTTCCTTGAGCCTTGCCTTTGCTCTTGTTTCCGCATCATAAATCATATCCGGATAGTACTCCTGCCATACACGTGTTGTGTTGAAAACAAGCAAACCCCAGAAACAAATGGGCAGAACGCCATGCAACGTGTCAACCTGGACAATGGGCCGTAGGCCCTTGGCATTTCCCACTAAATCTCCTGCACCACGTATTCCCAAGGAAATGGCAGAATTACCTCAAACATAGCAGCGTGGGAAGGAAGCAGCTGCTGCTGCGGACATTTGCGCCAATGGCAAAGGATTGTCTCATGAACATACAACTGAGGCACCAGCTCGGGCAAGCGACTCTGGGTAAATGTTCATTGCCGCGTCCACACCTAGATTGCAACTGGGAATGGCCCAATGTGGGCCTTTCAGAACCATGGGGGAAAAGAGGCCCATGAGCAAGTAAACTTGGAAACAAATAAAACCACCAAGCCCAGAACATGTTCGCGCGCTGCTGGCCACAACAACAACTTTTAACAGCGGCGCGGCGGCGCGACGATTACAGTGCAAACAAGACGGTATGTACTCCCAGATTTGGGACGGGCCGGTTTTCAAGTTTGGGCTGCAAGCTTGGCATTATTGGTTGCAGGCCAGCAGCTAGGAACTGGTGCTGCCTGCCGCTTCTGGCCCTGCTGCTACCGAGCAGCAACACTTCTTAATCGCCGCTGCCGAATAGCTTTTGGTACGCGCAAATGCAAAGCTGCTAGGTCTTGCCCTTTGGCGCAAGGTGTGCTCTCGGGTTGGAAAGAAAAGTCTTGTCTGAGAAAACACAAAGATTGGTATGGGCGCCTTGAAAGGCCGCCCCTAACTATCCAAGGCCCGGGCGAAGCATAGTGACTCCAATCTCCAGCAAGTCGAAAAGATAGGTCCCCAACTGAAGCTGAACCTGGGCGAATTAGCGTTGCAACAAGGAGCTGGGATCCTATTTTGGCCAAAGCACTGCTTTCAACTCGGTGTTGAGATCTGGCATACCATACATGTCGCACAGGCCTGAGCACAAGAGAAAACGAGGACGAACGAGGATTTTGGAAAGCATGGAACTTCAACGCATCCACTTTGTTTTCGGAGTCTCCCAGTGATTGACAAGTCACTTCCTTCTTGTTTCTACACGTCTGTAGCCCCTCATGCTACCCAAAAAATAAAAGGACCGGATAACCCCACATGATAAGTTTTACAAATGTCAATTGTATATGAACATCACATGGGAGACGGAGTAGTGAGATGAAAAGTCAAGAACGAAGTGTGAGGAGAGAAGGTATATGAGGTGGTTGTGCTAAGACGTGTAGTATAAGTGATGATGTGATGGACGAGGATGAGAAGGAGGGGAGGGAGGAGGTGTGTGTGTGTGTGGTAAGATGGCGTGCGTGTGTGTGTGTGTGTGGGTGTGTGATAAAGTGTCTGATGATGTGATGAACAAGGATGAGAGGGACGAGAGAGAGAGAGAGATAGAAGGAGGCGGAGAGAGAAGTTTGGAGGCTCTGGATTTTGCGATCAGATCCGCATGAGACCTTCAAAACG